TCTGCCCCTTGGCCAGCAGGGACAGTCGGGCTGAGGCCTGAGACAGGACTCTGGGTCACGTGGTCTGGATCTGGGGAGTCGGGGAGCCTGCTGCGGCAGCTGGGGGGGGGGGGGCGGGGGAGGACGCAGGGGTTGGGGAGACAGAGCAGGAGCATTCAAACAGAGAAGAGAGTGAGAGAGCGAGAGAACAGGACACAGGGAAATAAAGACAGAGAGAGATGGAAACAGGAGAGCAAAAGGAGACAGACAAGAGAATGAGAGAGACTGAGGCATAGGGACGGGGGGGGGGGGGGGGGGACAGAGAGGGTGGGAGGGAGGGAGGAGAGAGAAAGAGAGAGAGAGAGAGAGAGAACTAAAAGACACAGAGAGAAGGGGGAGGACTGAGAGTTGAGAGTCCGGGTCGAGAGGGGCAGACCGCTCATACCCACAGCCCCCCCGATGCCAGGCCAGCCTCTCCCCCTGCACAAGCCCAGTGCCCGTGGGTGGCCTCTCTCCTACCCAGGGCAGCGCCAGAGACCCAGCTGGCCTCCAGCTGGGGGCCGTGGCCACTGAGCCCCTCACTCCCTGCCTTGGGCTCCCTCTGCTGGGGAAAGCGCCCAGGAGTCCTGAGCGTGGGGGCCCTGCCTCTGGCCCCCTTGGCTGTGTGTTCCCAGGCTCATCCTTTGCCCTCTGTGGGCCTCAGCCCAGCCCTCAGTAAATGGGGGCTCCTCTCTTAGCCTGCTTGGCTCGGCTGGGGCAAAACTCCCCCAGGCAGTGAAGAGCGATTGTGACAGAAATGGCTAAGAAGCTACAAGGAGACCGGAGCTCAGCAGTTCCCCGGGCGCAGGGCACAGTGGGAGTCACTCTGGGAGAACCAAAGCCTGGGGAGTGGTCAGTGGGTAGAGCTGCCACCTGCAGCACCGGCATCCCATATGGGCACCAGGTCAAGTCCTGGCTTTAAGTCCTGGCCACTCTACTTCCGATGCAGCTCTCTGCTGTGGCCTGGGAAAGCAGTGGAAGATGGCCCAAGTCCTCAGGTCCCTGCACCCCGGTGGGAGACCTGGTAGATGCTCCTGGCTCAGCTCTGGCCATTGCGGCCATTTGGGGAGCGAACCAGTAAATGGAAGACCTCTCTCTCTCTCTCTCTCTGTCTCTCTACCTCTGCCTCTCTGTAACCGTGCCTTTCAAATAAAATAAATCTACCTTTTTTTTTTTTTTTATTTTTTGACAGGCAGAGTGGACAGTGAGAGAGAGAGAGAAAGGTCTTCCTTTGCTGTTGGTTCACCCTCCAATGGCCGCCGCGGCCGGCGCACCATGCTTATCCGATGGCAGGAGCCAGGTGATTCTCCCGGTCTCCCATGGGGTGCAGGGCCCAAGTACTTGGGCCATCCTCCACTGCACTCCCGGGCCACAGCAGAGAGCTGGCCTGGAAGAGGGGCAACTGGGACAGAATCCGGCGCCCTGACCGGGACTAGAACCCGGTGTGCCGGCGCCGCAGGGAGCACGGGGGCGACAGGAATGACTCCCGCTGCAGAGGGCGCCATGCTGTGCAGGTAGCTGTCACTCACACTGTAGCTGCATCTGTCTTTAAAACTTTTCCTTATTTCTTTTAATTTTACTTGTCAGAAAAACAGTGGAGAGAGAGAGAGAGAGAGAGAGAGAGAGAGAGATGTTCCATCTGGTACTTCACTCCCCTAAATGCCTGAAACAGCCACAGCGGGGCCAGGCCAAAGCAGGAGCCCAGAACTCAATCCAAGTCTCCCATACGAATGTCAGAGACCCCAGCACGTGAGGCATCACTGGAAGGAAGCCGGCTTGGAAGAGGAGTTGGGGCCGCACAGGCACCCTGGCACAGGACGAGGGCGTCCTGCTGAATGACAGCCTCCGTGCCAGACTCCTGCCCCTACACTCACAGTCAACGCGCCACCCCCAAAACACGTTTTCAAAAAGGAACATGGGTGGGCCAGTGCTGTGGCCTAGTGGGTAGAGCTGCAGCGCCGGCATCCCATGCAGGCGCCCATTCCAGTCCCGGCTGCCCTGCTTCCAAGCCAGCTCCCTGTTATGGCCTGGGGAAGCGGTAGAAGATGGTCCAAGTGCTTGGGCCGCTGAACCCACGTGGCAGACCTGGAAGAAGCTCCTGGTATCAGCCTGGGGGAGCCCCAACTTTTGAGGCCATTTGGGGGACTGAATCAGAGGATGAAAGATCTCTTTCTCTCTGTCTCTGCCTCTCTAACTCTGCCTTTCAAATAAATGAATCTTAAAAAAAAAAAAAAAAAAAAAAGAGCCATGCTGGGTGACTGTGGCCCTCCCAACCCACAGTCCAGCTTCCTCTGCTGGGTGCCCTGGGAGGGGAGGCGGAGGAGGGCCCCTCACTCTTGCCTTGCAGGTGGGATTACATAATTCATGGAGCCCAGCGTAAAATGAAAATTAAGAGTCCCCTGTGCAACCGTTAGTAAGAATTTCAGGACAGCGGCAGCGGTGCAGGGCGTGGGCACGGCTTCCTAGGAAGGCAGCCCTGGGTGCACTCAGGGGCCCAGCAGGAGACTGCAGACCCAGGGGTGGGGGGGGTGGGGAGGGCGCAAGGCTGGGGCGTGACTTTCCGCTGTTCCCTGCAGCTCAGCCCTGGCCGGCTGCCCTGCCTCACGGGAGGTCTCAGAGCCATCTGGTGACATTCTCCTTCCAAGCTGCAAACCCCTCTCCTTTCCTGTCCCCCCAGTGCTAGACCTCGCGATGAGCAGCCCCCGCTGTTTGACACTCTTTTCTAACCGTGTCCCTTTCAATGAAAAAATAAAATCTCAGTGAAAGTGGTCTCTGGGTAGCATCCCCCTACTAATAACTGCCCAAAACCACTCTTATCCTCAACCAGGCTTGCGCGGTGATTAAATCCCTCTTCTCCACACCCAGTTGTGATTTGGAAAGATTGTATTGTGAGGTTAGCTGTTCCCGGAAAAGGCGCTCTGGCTCGCCCTTTCAAACGAAGTGAAAAATCGTGGGAGGCATTGTTGATATAACAAGGAGAGTTGACCCTCGATAAATCTCGCGGTCCCTATCAAAAGAGCCTGAATGTTAATTTTCAGCTTGCCCTCGGTTTTCTCAATTAGACTTCTTGCCCTTT